AGGGGACTTCACTGACTTGACCAGTGGGGTAGTAGAGGAGTGATTGCTAGACTGCGTCATGGTCGGACAGGTCCCATTCCCTGGCCATCGTGGCCTGTGCAAGCTGCATCCAGGGTTGGTTTTCTGGTGAGGTCAGTAGGCGGACTGTCCATTTGGCCAGCAAGGCTGTGTTCTGCATTTCAGGGTCTAGGATACCTAGGCCCCTATCCTGTTTTTTCACTATAATTTTCCACCAAGCGACCTTGCTAATGCAAGAGGGGATGCTTGCATCTCCCTTCCAAAGGAATCTGGTGAGTAGTTGCCTTACCAGTTTGGTCGAGGAGGCAGATATCTGACAAAAGGCCAGGATGAACCAGATAGTGGACAAGATGGAGCAGTTTGTCACAAGTGCTCTCCCTAATAGGGAGAGGTCGTTTCTACCGGACCATCTTGCATATGTGTCTCGGATTCTGTTGTCAATTACTAATGACTGGTCCTTGCTGCACTCTCCAAAAGATACCTAGATGCCGAGGTATCTTTCTGATTCTGCGGCAGGGATCAGTTTAATCCCGAAGTCAATTGCCAGGGGTGAATCATCATGGGTAAGGGCTACGGATTTGTTCCAGCTCACCTTCATTTCTGAGGCTGCTTCATACACAGATATGCATTCGTGAAGTGCTGATAGAGAGGAGACTTAGTTTTCTGTGATGGCCGAGAAGTCATCTGCGAAAGCCAAGAGGAAGCCCTGTCGCAATGACCTTGTCACTGTGAAGGCATGGGAGAGATAACCGTTCACCATCACTCTCCCTTGTGAGCCATGATATAGGTTTTCCAACCAGCGACGGTAATTGGGGCCAATACCAATTTTGTGGAGGACTTCCGAGCAGGAGTTTCCATTTCACTTTATCGTAAACCTTTTCGAAATCGATAAGGACTGCAATATTAGATCGTTGTGCCTTAATGAGGTTTAACGCTTGAGTAATTGCCATAACGTTGTCAAGGACCTGCCTCCAAGGGAGGAAACCCGGTTGGGGCGGGTGGACCTGTTTGGTCATTAAGCCAGAGAGGCGTCGTAACAAGGTTTTGGCCAAGATCTTCTCCATTACATTGATCACGGAAATCGGGCGGTAATTTCTTACGTCTCGTCGGTCTCCTTTCGTGTATAGTAATGTGGTTACTCCTATTGTTTTGGATCCCAGTGGATTGCCACGAAGTACATTATTGAAGTCCCTCAGTAGATCCAGGGCGAGGGTGTCCCAAGATAATTCATAGAATTCTATTGGTGGCCTGTCGGGCCTAGGGCATTTGCCCTTGGCCATGCTTCTCATTGCGGCAGTCAGTTCCAGTAGCGTGATTGGTTTTTCTAGGTCTTTTTGCTCCGGGGTTGAGAGATGACTGCGGGCTGTCCCGCAGAGGCGGCCTTCCCACATCTCCGCAATAATAATGTCGTCGAATATTTTTCTGAGGTAAGTAACTTCTTGTAGAAAATAGGTACGAAATCACAAATAGAATCTGACGACCTTGTCGAGAGAATTGTGTTGTCGAAGGGGTGCAGGATTTCCACCATGGAAGGTGATTTGCCTTTTTCGTGCGACAGTTTTAGTGTGTTGGAGTTCTTTCTGCCCTTATGTAGGATGTTGTCTATGCGTTTGCATATGAGCCAGGATTCTTATCTGCATATCTGTTTGTCTTGCCAGTCTTGCAGCCAGGCAACCCTTCTAAGGGCCCAGTGGCTGTCCGAGAAGGAGGAGAAGCCTAGTCTGTTTTCTACGTTTTCTATTTTCCTTTTTAGGATTATTTCGTCATGTTTCCTGTTTGCTGCCTTGATTCTTGAAATGTTATTGAGGAACCCTGAGAGGAGGTGGATGCCCCTGTCTACCCAGTCCCCTGCGTCAGGAAACAGATTTGACGAGGCTCTCCATTCTTCCCAGAAGTTCCTCACCCACTCGATCATTTTGTTGTCGTTAAAGATCTGCATATTTAGTTTGGAAGTACCCGTTCCTCTTTTAGGGGGGGGCGCTGCTGATGATGTAATTGTGACTGGTTCGTGGTCAGACATTGGGTGTGGCGTGATATCAACTTGAAGAACGGGTGGGATGACCTTTTCGGAGCAGAAGATTGCATCCAATCTTCTGCTAACCACGGGTGTGGTGGACGATAACCATGTGAAGTTCCTTTGGTCCGGGTGCAGCAACCAGTATGAATCAAACAGCCCTTTTTCGGCGAGTAGTTCGTTCAGGGCTATGGATTCCCCTGGGTGAGAGAGAGGAGAGGAGAAATTCAGCACCTCATTGGGCACCGTATTCCAGTCCCCACCTACCACCAGAAACTCAGATTCTGGTATTACTTAAGAGAGTTGATTAAAGAACTCGACTTTTGTTGTGTGGTCGGCGGGGGCATAGATGGGAAGGAAAGTCCATTCACGAGAATCGATATTCCAAACGGATCAAAGTTCGCGTGGGAGATGGTTCTGCAGATGGAGTTGTGGATCAGAATCCCAGTGCCCCCCCTGGTGTCCTCGGCAGGGGCCCAGATGTGGGGTCCTGACCACCAGTTACTGATTTCCGCCACTCTTTCATTATTAAGCTTAGTTTCCTGGATCAAGACAATTTGTGCCCTGTTGCCGTGAATCCAAGATTTACGTCTGGCGCGCTTGTGTCTCCTGTTTTTGTTTACTAGTCCTCGCACATTCCAGGAGGCCACCTTAACCGGGGAGCCCATCCAAACCTGCGGATGGGGCTTGCTGTTGGATGGCGGCCTGGACTATGAACGGGCCAGGCAACTGTCTGTTGATTGGGGCGGGGCTCAACAAGGCTGGGTCCCAAGCTGCCTTCAACAGGTCAGTGAGGCTGCAATTGAAGATTTTCTTGTCCGTCTGTAGAGCGTTATTGATTTCCGTTAGAATCAGAGTGTCCGGGCACAAGGCGTAGATGGCATGGATTCTGCCGGAGGCACCAATCTTGTTGAAAGAAATCAGCGGGTGGTGGGGTATCGGCCTTATAGCGCATACATTGTGCACAATCTTCTTCCCATGTTGTAAAGCTGCATTGGGTCTGGGGGAGTAGACACCAGGGAGTCTGGTATTGTGTACCCTCCATGGGAGTCCGCTAAGAGCACTATGTAGGGGCCCTGATTTGTGGATTTGAGCAGTACTGGGATTGCAATGCAGGCCCCGAACTGCTGTGGTCTGGGTCCTGCATCACCCTGGGAGGAGGAGTGCTGTCTACTGTCTTCAAAATCCTCTGGCTTGGTTCTTTTCGAGGAGCCAGCTCTGAGGAACCTGTCTAAGTCCATGCCATCGCCGACAGGGACTCCAACAGGAACAGTTGTGCCCTTTTCGCCAAGCATGGTGACCCTCCCTTGGTTGTCCTGCAGGAATCCCCGTTGAGCAGCCAATGAAGGGTCTGTGCCGTTGAGATTGAAAGGACAGAGTTCGCCCTGTGAAGAAGAGAGAAGCCGGAGTAAAGGGAAAACCCGACTTATCCAGAATGCATCGGCGGAGTTGAGAGTTTTACCTTCGCATTGGTGATGAGCAGTCTGATTGTCCAGGAGTTGACACCGTTCGTCACGCAGTAAAACGAGAGCGAGAGTTCCAGGGCCTGTAGACCCATGCTGTAGCGGATCACAGCGCTTTGCTGGTAGTGAATGTTCGTAACTCATTCAAGGGCTTGGCAATAGCTCGCGTGAAATGTTCATGCTGGCAGGTGTAGGGGTAACAGGCCGCCGCGCATTCCTCCTCTCCAGAGTGGTCAGAGTACTCGCCCCAGTGAATGTGGAAGGAGATGCTGCCCCTTGCCTCCACGTTGGGAGGGAAAGGTAGGCTGGCTATGGTGAAATTAGGTTAACCACAGTAAAACCCGAAGCAGCACAAAATTTTGCGGCGTTGCTGGAGCGCGCTCCGGGTACCCCCCCTCCCTCTCTGATTTTAACGGCTGCGATGTCCCCCCTCAACAAACTTTTGCCTCAGGGTCACATGGAAATTCTTTACCAAATTTAATATAAAAATAAATATAATTATACAACACTTTTTTTTTTTTTTTTTGGCCTGGCCTGGCAATTGGTCCCGGGCCACTCTGTTTGCTAGCCTAGAGTAGAACAGGGCTAAAATAGAAATGATAAATAAACTAGGCTACCAGAGTGGCCTGGCGCAACTTGCCTGGCCGGGCCAAAAAAACTAAAAAACTAAAAATAAAAATATGTTAAATTTGGTAAAGAATTTCGATGTGACCCAGAGGCAAAAGTTTAGTTTGTTTTTCTGCATAACATTTTCCTTTCCCCAGATCTTATATATATTTTTTGGTCTGAAGCTTCCCCCCTCCAATCGATCTTCGTGGGGTTCAAAGCTTCGCCCCGCCCCCCTCCCCCCCCTCCCTTTCCTAACAAGGCGTTTTTATTTTCTGAGAATGATTGTTTTTTTTTTCTTTTTCCTGATCGTCGTGGTGGCTATGATTTGCTGTCATCTTTGCTAGGAGGACATAGGAAAAGACGTCGTCGCCACAATTTGAAGATGATCATAGCAGAAATGACTGAGTCTGACGTGACGGCGTCCGACTCTTCGCCATCGCCCTCTGCTTCTGCTTCTTCTTCTTGCGCTTGGCCAGCGGTACCAGGCAACACAGTTGGGAAAATAAGGAAGCATGTTTGAGAGTTTGTGAATGCATCCTACGACGAACACAAGCAATGATTGAAGAATACGCTGAACAAGGTGGACCTCTCTCTCTCTCTCTCTCTCTCTCTCTCTCTCTCTCTCTCTCTCTGTGTGCGCAACGGCTTGTGGTATTCTGTCTCCTCGCTTAGATGTTCTTATTTATTTATACTCCATTCCAAACAGTTTAAACACTCCCTGATTGGCATGCTTGGTCCATTTCCAATAGTTCAATAATGTTGACGCCCTTTGTGTGTGTGTGTCGCGTGTGTGTGACATTTATGTGTGTGTGCGTGTGGCGTGTTTGACGTGTGTGTGTGTGTGTGTGTGTGTGTGTGTGTGTGTGTGTGTGCTTGACATACATGCGTGTGTGTTTGTGTGTGGCGTGTTTGACGTACACACACACACACACACACACACACACAGAGAGAGAGAGAGAGAGAGAGAGAGAGAGAGAGAGAGAGAGAGAGAGAGAGAGAGAGAGAGAGAGCTTTGGTGAGGGGATTCTCTTTAGGTTACTTTTTTTATTTTTTTAATTTAGGTTACATTATGGTGCGACCTCTGTCTTACTTAGGGCACGCTCACACTAGGTACCAAATCCCCATTTTCCCCCCAAAAAAGGGTTCCCGGACAGTCACACATGGTGAACATCTGCCCAAATTCTCAAAAGGGGTGACCATTTGTCAGCGGCCTGCGAAGCCGCGGGGGAAGGAAATTTGTGGTGACCTCCGGAGGTTACCGCAATTTCTCAAATCTTTTTCCGAATTACCGTGAAAAATTGGAGAAAAAATGGAACCCCACGATATTAGCGGCCTATCAATTGAAGAAAAGGAAATTTGGGGAAATGGGTGCACGCACGGAGCGGTCAGACGCGCGGAGCACGAGCAGAGAGGTTCGTATGGACACCCGTTGCCAGCAGTAACGACCCAAAAAAAAAAAAGGAAAAAACAGATTATAAAAACTGAACAATTGCATTTCCCATTTGAGGTACCACCGTGTGACCGGCGCCCTCCACAAGCACCTCGCAGAGAGCGATGTTGCGACCTTGTCGTTAGCGTATTGGGAACATAGTGTGACCGGCCAGGGCCACATTTCCTCAAAACGGCCGTTCCCATTTTCCCATTTTTTTGGGAATTTGGGTACCTAGTGTGAGCGTGCCCTTATTTTGTTCTTAATCATCAAAACAGTTCTGAATCAGCTGTTAACAGTATTGTTTTCTTTTTTCCTTGCCGTTTTGTTTTCTTTTCTCTTATTATTTGGGGTGGTTTTCTTTTCCTTTGTGCAGCTTATTGGGGAGATGAAGGGCAAAGAAGCACCAAAGCAAGAGGGGCAGAGTGGTGCTGCCAGGCCTGTTCCCACGACAGCCTCAAGCAGGAGCTGCAGCGGCAGCCCCTGACTTCCTTCGGCATTGGCAAGAGCAGCCTCCTGGACTGCCTCGCCCTGCAGTCAGGAGGCAGGCCGAGAACTACATAGGGAGTTCCCATGCACTTCACGGGGGGTAGTGGGACAGAAGGCGGGAGTAGTCTTCAGGATTCGGCCGCAGCACTCAGGAGGAGCGCTGCAGGAGTAGCTTAGCGCTAGCAGTAGTCTTCAGCGCTGGGCGCTAGTACCCATAGCAGTTGTCTTCAGCGCTGGGCGCTAGTAGGTGGTAGTAGTAGTATTGGGGAGAGATGGCTGGCGGAGGCCAATGAGACTTACCTGTGGCGCCATAGCTCCAGCTCCATCTTCGAGGTACCTGCATCAAGGCGCCAACTTCACAGGTTAGTACCGGACTGAGAGAGATAGAGAGAGAGAGAGTTCTTCTTCTTCCTCTTCTAAGTCCACCATCTCTTCTTCCCCTCTCACCTCCTGACTTGTCACTATCAGCGGACTACGACAGAGAGAGAGAGTTGTGACTTGAGACTTGACGACATTGGATCCACACTCGACATTGGGATTCAGACATTTTGATGAGGGACTTTTTGGGCCTGTGCCGAAGACTTGGTGTTGACAACATTCCCATCTTCCCCTCTTCTTCGTCTAACCCCCCTCTTCTTCGTCTGTGAATGGTTGGGGCTGGCGCGTTCTTCCTGTGTGAGCGCCAGACCCCTTCACACCATGGAATGATGATGATGATGTATGTTCGGGACTGCATTGCAATATTGATTGTTCGGATCATTGGTATCTAAGTCTTCCGCTATGCTATCTTGTACTTCGTGAGAGAGGTCGGTTCTTGTTCTGGTCTGCACCGTTACAGTATGCAACAAACACGGAGCATAATAGAAGCGTTTAAATCCCTTTTTTAACAGTGTTCACTTTGGCTTTTGGGGGTACCCCTTTCATTTGTTCTTGCAACTCCACTTTTACTGTGCCTCTCATGTACAAGGCTCGCCACGTTGATTGTGGTTGAGCGCGAGCTGCCCACGTCCATGTGTACCATAATGGCTCACTTGCACACTATGAAAGGAGGCACAGTAAAGGCGGAGGAGGTATATTCCTGTTCGTTTTTCCTCAGATCTTCAGCTTATATTTGTAGATTTTCACCACAACAGCCCTTATTCCACCCAGATGAGTAGATGCAAAATCCATGCAGCTTTACCTCTATTGCAGACAATGAAGCGCACTTGAGATGAGCCCTTCCAACAATGAAACAGTTTACGTATATAGCAAGCAACATGGAGCAGAATAGATCCGTTTCATCCCTTTCTTAACTTTCTTTACTTTGGCTTTCTTTGGGGTACCCCTTCTATTTGTTCTTGCAGCTCCCTTTCTTTGACTTTCTCTACTTTGGCTTTCTTCGTGGTGCCTCTCACGTAAAAGGCTGCCCACGTTGACTGTGGTTTAGTGCCAGCTGCCCACATCCCCGTGCCATAACGGCGCACTTGCACATTCTGAAACGAGGCAGAGTAAAAGGGAAGGTATACTCCTGTTCATTTTTCTTCAGATCTTCAGCTGATGTTCTGCCTCTTAGTGATGCTCATTCATATGCATTTACTAGTAGAACACAAGGAGGGAGGAAGGAAAGCTGTAGGGGGTGGCGTTCTATAAGAAGCAAGGGGTGGGGGAGGGAGAAGGGGTAGAGGAGGGAAGTAGAGGGGCAAAGAACAGAACAGAGGAATGACAAACTTCACAGAGTTCTCACTGAATACTCATCGCTGGAGCAGACTACTCTAGGATGGCACAAGAGGCCAGTCACTGTTTGGATTGCCGGAGATTTTGAGAGCAGGGCCTTGAGGACCAGCCGTTGCCTACGGTACGTGGCCACCCCTACAGACCGGACACGAATGTGCGGGTGTGGACTGTGGAAGCACAGCATCCAATTCTCGCAGTTGCAGTTGCTGCATCAAATGGCACGGAGTAGACGGATGTCACAGGCTACGTGGCTCCTACATGACGTCTTCACCCGAATAGAACGCCCGGTCATTATAGCTGTATTTGGTGCAACTTGCAGTCTAGATACAGCGATAATGAGCGAGCGTTCTATTCGGGTGAAGACGGTAGGAACACAAGGGCACGTCGACCACAATTATAGAGGCATTGCCGTTCCAGCGCCTGTCTACAAATTGGACATGACATGTCAGGGAGCCGTACACGAGTGCAATGCTGACTATCATCATACGTATGACAACAAGAACTTGCATGGGCTATGCCTTCATAATCCTCCCAACAGAAAGCATGTGAACCACATGCTAGTCGAGCCTCACAGAGCGGCATTGAGCATGTTTCTTGGGTTTCCACAGTCATTATTCGCTCTCTATGGGCAGGCGACGACGAGGGCTGCTCCAACGGAAGGGTGTTTAGCTGTTGCAAGATTTGGTCTGCAACAGCTCACCCTAGTGGTGACAAGCTTGCAGCGTACTGTAGGTGGTTCATGTGATAGTCTGTTTTCCACCTCCGGCTGCTGCGTCTGTTGTTTGTCTGGCAAGGATGAAGGAGATCTGACTGTGCGTGCAGCAAGTGTGTGCTCAACGCTGCATGCGGGGCATGCTTGGGGAGAGGATGTGGCAGGTGACGGCATTGGGGATAGTCCACGCAGTAGAGACACATACTTTCCATGAAAGCTTCCTGGAAACATTGAAGACACATGGCATGTCGCTGACATGCCAGCAGGAAAGCAGGCTGGCGTTCGCAGCTATTTACGTGTGGCATGTCAAGGCCACAACGGCATATTGTACTAGTAATAAGGGGGTGGGCAGGATGAGTGCAAGACAACGGGTCGCAGTTTTTGCGGCAGAGGCTGCCAGTGACCATCCCTTTATAGTGTTTGAAGCAGAGATTATGCCGTGTGCATGCTAACCGAACTTTAGTTGTCTGGAAACACAGTGGCATGGCACAGCCGCCATCTTCTGCAGAGTCTGATCTACACAGCGAAGTGACGCTGCCTGGCCACGTACAGGGGAGAGGGGAGGTTCAACCAGAATGTTCTCCGTAGGCTGTAGAGCTTGTGAGTGCACGTCTACATACTATTCCTGATTGACCAGCCAGACCGAGTGGGATTCTGCTACTCAGTGGTAGAAAGAGTTAACACTTCCCTGCCGCCATTGTCCCATATTGCCCATGAATTATCAGCAAAGGTAGCAGGACTGAAATAACCAGGAAGGTGGAGGATGTACGCACAAATATTCCGGTCCATGCCTGGCATGTAATTCTGTGGAGTGGACTGGAGTTGTAGTCGTGTTATCATAAATGCCATAGACAGGACTGCTATGTTCACACCAGGCTCAGTACAGCCTCCTCTGAGCAGACAACACGGTGCTCTTCTTCTATCCAGCAGACAAGGTCTGCAAAATCATAAACAGTAGAATTGTAAGCGAGGAGACATACATTAATGGCATAGTACGGATGGTGGCCTCGCTGTAGCACTATGAGATCATTTGATTCTGCAGATTGTGAGGCAGGGGGAGGTTCATTGAATTCTGCAGATTGCACGGTAGGGGGAGGTTCATTCCGGTCTCGATTGTTTCGGTCAGGTTCTTCCGGCTGTGTTAACTCCATTGGCTCTAGCATGTGTTCCAGTCGGGGGCTACATCAAGTAATCAGAAGGTGGATCATTGTCAGTTGCAGCGGGGAAGCGATAGGGGCTAGGTGGATGAGAAGTGGGTGGGTCAGTTGCAGGAAGCGGAAGCTGATCAGCCACACTTGTGCTCAGAGTGGCTGGTAGTTGTGCAAATGCTGCACGGGTGGCTGCAAATCCGTCTTTGATACACACGCAGGCCTGCAGCACTGAAAAAATCATTGCCACATTGTGAGCATCAGACTCGGTGGCTAGTGCGTACTGAGAGCGACAACATCGTTCTGTACGATCGTGAGCATGGCGTCGGAGAAGATCTCTGACCACCGTGGGGGACACGGTGATCATGCTGTCCAAGCACAAACGAGGCCGCTGTTAGGAGGTGGCGGTGGAGACAGGGAACGTCGCTGCTGTGTGTGTAGGTGGGTGGGTTGGTGTGTTATTATTACTTGTTAACTTTTCCTTACTGAACGACAACCAGTGTTGCATACTAGTGAAAGTGAACACCAGTATGATGCAGAACCTAGAACTGACCATTACAAAGAGCAATATAATGCAGCAGAAGACTTGAAAACATGGATCTGAACTCACATCTGACTCGGACCATACACAGGCTCACACACATACATCCATTGGGTGGGAAGGCCTGGCGCTTCAACATGGAAGATGCGCCAGAGCCTGTACACATCATACACGGACGAATGTAGGGGGAAGAGACGGAGGGAGGAGGAGGAGATGGTGCCAACATGAAGTCACCAAATAGTAATCCGAAATGTCGGAGATATGCTACGATCCTGGTCATTTCCCAAGTGCAAATTCACAATGAAAGACAATGCCACCCAATTGCGAAAGAAATGAAAGCACTTGCAAGAGATAAAGACCAGAGGAGAGGTAAAGAAGAAGAAGAAGAAGAAGAAGAAGAAGTACACCAGCAAGACCAATGACAATTCCCCCTTCTCTCTCCACCTTCCTCCTTCCTCCTTCTCTTCACCAATCTTATTCTTCCCTCAACAATAATAATAACAATGAA